CCAGTTGCGAATAGGAACACCTCTCATCATCTTCGAGCAATTAACCCATCTATTCCAACTTTTTAACTTTATTGCCGCTCCACCGAGCTTCTGTGACCCCTCTAACCAAGACTCAGCCATAAAAGACGCAGCCAGAGCCGCGTAGGATGTCTGCACTGACTCTGACCGTCTGCGCTCCAAGCGTAAGCTTTAGTTAGGGAATGGACTCAGGGGGATTGTGGAATAGCACCGTCCCTCCCAAGTACGCTAGCGAACAGAGTGGATGCGTCCTGGTGCCCCTTCATCTACAAAAGGGATCTGGAATAGCACTGACCTTCCAAGATACGCTAGGGCCTGTACGAGATAAGAACGAGAGCAATGAGCATTACCGATAGATGAAGGAGCCACTAGGACGCACCCACTGTGTTCGTCTGCGCTTGTAAGGATGGACCTGTTGAGGAAAAGAGTTCTGGGATGAACATGGTCACGGTGAGGTGGCGCAGACGGCGGATAACACGTTGCCTTTTCCTCACTAGTGCCCCAGGATTGGCGAAATCGATGATTCGTCTGAAGAAACGCCTAAACCGACCATCTGGGTTCTGGATGTTTTTTTTTCAATCCTTGCTTTTCTGCTTTTCTTTTATTTCTAATCATTACGCTACCAAAAGGCCTCTCTTATCTACCTTTTCATCGCACAGTGTTAAGATCATGGCGTGATATAACTTCTATACCAAACCCAACACATGAAAAGTACTGACCGGTATTCATAAGCTTGTTCATGGCGTCGACAAGCTTCATCGCTTCGTATTCCTTTTGCTCTTCGGTCATGCCTTCGAAAGGAGAGACACCAGTATTCTCCGGTCGCAAGTAACCCGTCACAGGATTTATTCTATAAACTGATGACTATAGGTAAAGGCTGCGAACTACAGGATAAAGGACCTAAAATCGCGCCCATACAAAACTAGCCTGTCTTCAACAGCTTTGTAGTCCTCCGTTTCCGAGTCTTCGCTATCTGAAGCGCTCTTAGGAAGATTTATTTGACCGAGAAGGCCGCAGTTAGCTAAGAGACCAGCAGAGTGGCCGAGTCCAGTGTATTTGATTAGACGACTCACTACAAAAAATGTATTAGTATCATTATCAAAGCTGAAGAAGTTGTATGCCCACCTGATCTCTTGCACAGCACAAACATGAACTCGGACGCAAGATCCTTCGAGAACGCAGGGCTCATCATGACCCGAACAATCTTGTTTCTGAGGGAATCGCCTTCATCTGGACGACGAGCAACATCTGCTGCCACCAGAGGAGGTAAAATCTGAAACGTAGCTAGTTAAGAAGAAGATAAAAAACATAAATATGAAGAAAAGATTACGAGATTTTTTTGAAACATTTCACTCGACACCAATACAGAAGTACAACTATAACAGTGGGATGTGTACTACCATACCATATCGTCGAGTTAAAAATCATATATTTCAAAGAAAAAAAAGGTGTTAGGGTGGTTAGGAGGATGAATGCATGCACCGACGCGACAGGAACTGCCCCTCTGCAACAGCCTCCCAAATTACTCTTTTTTCACACGACTCCTTTCGCAATCTTCCTGACATTCTCCAGCGGCCGCATACGATTGCTCCACTGTGATTTGTACAGCGGACGGCGTGTCTTGCACAAAAGTCTCAGATGCAGAGGGTGGTACACCACATAGTGAAATCGGGGATGGATTCAAGGAAAGAAACTGCATGGTACTACCTACATCATGCATGAAAAGTTGGAATGTGCAAAGCACGATAAGTGTAGTTGTTCGATGACGTCCTCCACCCACTCGAAGGCAGTTTTTTGGGGGAGAGCCGGAATACTGGGAAAAGTAATAGAAAGTTGGAAAAACCGAGAGATGGTAGGTAGGAGATAGGGAAGAAGGGGTTGTACCACGGGAAATTAAGGAGACAGAGACAGACAGAGAGAGAGACAGAGAGAGAGAGAGAGAGGATGTGTCGTAGTGACACCGCCATTTCACACACTATGATGCTGTACACTCGCTCAGGTGGTCCGTAGACTAGCACAACAGGAAAGGGACGACTAGTGAAGGTGTAAAAACAGACAGCTGTTTAACAAATGCCAATTACACTCTTTACCACCTCCTACGACGAGCACTGTTCAATACTGGAAAAATTTCGCCCCAAAACTGATACCGTCGCCATGTTTAAAGAGCGAGACTGTCAAAACAATCTCACCTTAAGTCTACAATAGCGACGTGCTTCCTTACTCGCTGTGCAGAGTTTCAGTGCAGAACCCAAGTATGTGCTCAGCAAATCCGAGTCCGAGTTGTTATTCTAAATATTTCATTACATGAGCGTTCACCCTAAAGACCACTATAGTGACTTACATCATCAAGTTTTCTCTCCATTGCATCCAGAAGTGCCTGGGCAAATGACATATCATAAAGGTCATACTGTTCTGTGTATCCATCATCACCCGAATTCATCTGAATATTGTTAAAAATAATCAAAGCAAATACGTAACCTTCTGAATACACTTAACTACACTTGTCGAAAACTTAAACATATGACAAGTACTGGTAGTCTTACAATCCCTTAGAGTAGTTGGGTACGATCCAGGCGAACCAGTTAGCCTGCGAAAGAAATAAATACATATCAATTGGGAGAATCGCCGAACGCTCGGACGTTGAAGCGAAAAGGGGATACGTTTTGATTCGCTGATTCTGCGCAATAGAAAAATTCGAGAATGGCCGAAGCTTTTCTTGCTCGCTTCGCCGGTTCTCCCTATCAATACATATACAATCTTTTTCGCGCGCCTGCTGGATTAGCCCGCTCCACGATTCTTCCTTCCGGTACGGAAAAAACGTTTCGATTCGATTCTTTCGCCGATTCCGCACGCCCGTTGATTCTGATCAATGCCTGAGTGCCGCTCAGCAGCTTTCGGATGTAAACCTTGATTACGAATCGCGGTAAGTGCGAAGGGGTTCCAAGCAAGGCTTTTCATAGTAGGGCCAAGGACAACGCGACAGCGATGTAGTGTGTCAAGTCAACAAGGTACGAAATCTCTGCTAATCTGCGCAGGATGTCCTCGGGACTAACCGTGTACACACGCAGCCTTCTGTCAGGACGAACCCCTTGAGTGGACCATTTCAAATTGAGAACCTTCCTAACATGCGTCGAGCGCGACTTAACAGGCACTCCCTCGACACACCAAGGCAGCGGCAGCGTTAAGACTTCCGATGACGCACTACCACTGCAATAGCTGAATGCTACAGACGGAAGCGCAGCTACAGACGGGTATCGATCGGCGCAGGTCGATACTGCCTTAAGATAGTATGAGAGGATAGGGAGGTAAGCGTTGCCCAGATGCACCCCCTCTATGGCCGCATTCCCTTTTGGAGAGATATGGCGACCCAATTTTCGTAGTGCAAAAGCTCGACGCACTACTCCACACTAAAAGATGCACGCTACCGTAACCCTAAATCCGGACGCTGAGTTTTTGAAGGTTTCTTTTCCTTTTCAAGGTTTTCCTTCCGTGTTTTTGCTGTTTTTCATACTCTTTTCATTGCTGTGGATCATCTTCTACTGCGAGATGGGAAAAACCGATTTGTGAGCCAGGGGTTGCCCACGGACCGCAGGGCGGTGTAACTGTAAGGGAGCAATTTTGTTTGTGGTGTTCTTGAGGGCTCTTGTTGCTTTTTTCCTTCATTGAGGAATTACTTATCAGCTACTGTTTCATAATTGATCAGCAATTATCCTTGACACTTTTATCGCGGGAGCTGTCTTTAATCAAATTAGTAGTCATGTGATTGAAAGCACTAGGATGATGGAATTGCCTACGGTCTCTGGCGACAAGTTGAGCGGGACCAGCCAAAGCTAGGTCACTTTCCCTTTTGCTTGTGTGCTTTGTCTAGGACGAGAGCAGATGGAGAGAAGGGCACATCATCGGTGGGATTCCCTAAGTGTAGAGTACGGGTTTGTAACTTTTTAGTTTTAAGGCAGTGTTTAGACTTGGCAATGACGCGCGCCGACGCGCTGCTGCAACAGCGCTCCATTTCTCAAAAAGGGAATGCGGCCATAGAGGGGGTGCATCATCTGCAACGCTCACCTCCCTA